ACCTTGTGGGGGGCCAGACTATATTTTTTTTTTGGGGGGGATGAACGAATTCCTATGCCCCACAAATAACCCAGAGATGCATTTTAAATAAAAGGATACGTTCTACTCATGTAAAAACACGCTGATTCCCGGACCGTCTGCGGGCCAGATTTAGAAGGCGTTTGGTCCGGATCCGGCCCCCGGGCCTTAGTTTGCCTACCGATTCTAGGGGTCCCTTTCCAGCTCTACGATTCTATGATATACAGGTGGGAGGAAGGTCCACAGAAGGCAGAACGGGCTTACCGCGGGGAAAATAATAATTGCGGAGAACAGAAACTGCTACAGAATCCAGCCCCTAAAAACACCGGGGAGCTGAGTGCTCAGACCAAATGCTATCAGTTACGCGGGCTGCCTCTTCGGGTTCCATTCATAAGAAAAGCGCTGGAGAGCGATTGGTTGCTTCGACGCAGAGGGCGTGGCCAGCCACCAGCCACTCCGAGCCGATTGGCTTCTGGGAGGAGAGTGGGCGGAGCTTTCCCGCGGCAAGGAGACGGTTGCCAGGGACGCCGCGGCCTCTGAGGCTGCGCAGCGTCGGCGATGGCGGGCATCGAGGGCGAAGACGCCAGCGCCACTTTGGACCACATCCTCACCCAGTTCAACACCTACGAGGATTACCTGGATTCGCAGATCACCACGCAGGACCTGTATTACTTGGAGGCGAGTGTCTCTGTGGTTGTTGTTTTTTGGGGGTGTGTGGCTCGCATTCCTGAGTGTCGAGAGGTCGCCCGAGCATGTGCAGAGTGCATTGCAGCCCTGGGGCCCGGACGGGGTAGGGGAGGAACCCCAGCAGCTTGAGGAGCAACTGCAGAGCAGGTTAACTTTTGCCAGCTCCCTGCTCTGCTTTAGCTGCAGTTCTCCCTGAGGGGAGGAAAGCCGGACTATCTCTTGAGGACTAGCCCCTTCTGATACACAGTAGCTGGGCTTCACGCTGGACTTTGTGAAACTGCCCCCCCCCGCTCCCATTTTACTCAAGTTGGCTCCACTGATTACTGCAGTGGGTGGGTGGCTGTGCTAATATTCTGTCTACATTGTATCTATTTTTATTTGTTTATTTGTTTAATTTCTATACCGCTTTATATTTTTAAGAAAAATCTCAAAGCGGTTTACAGCATATTAAATCAACAAAGCATAAATAAAACAATCTGAAGAAAGTCAAATAAAGAGTATACAGTCAAAGCAACATAACAGAAAACGAAAATATTATCTTGAAGATTTCAAAGTAAAACATTACAAAGGCAAAGGAGGTCAGCTACAGAATACATATTTAACATAGTTAGGGCTGGGTGAGTGTGGGCCCCGCCCCCTAGGCCAGGTGGAAAGGGCCTTGCAGGGAGCGGCCTTCACACTCACAGCCGGGCAATGTTATATACTGCCATCACACTATATCAAGCCTCTGGACACTATAAAGCATGGTTTAAAATGTAATAAATAAACAAACATGAATAATCATTCAGGCAACTATTGATTATTATTATTATTCAGTTCCTTTATATCCCACTTTTCTGCATATATAAAACAATACAGTTAATATGTATTTTTTTGGGGGGGGGGAATAAAACAGTGGGGAAGGAACAGTTTTCAAAACCAATCTGGAAGAAAAGGATCCTGTTGGATCTTTCCATGGAGGTAATTTCATAGTTCTGGAACCACCACCAAGAAGTCTCCGCCAGTCGTATAAAGATGGCTCAGAGAGCAGCACCTCCAAAACTAATCTTGCAGCCCAAGCAGGTGAGACAGTTCTTAAGATCACCTGGTGCCAGGCTATTAGGACTTGGCAAATACCAGCACTTTAAATTAAGCCTGGAAATTAATATGTAAGCAATGCAGTTGGTATAATATCCATGCAATCTGTTCTGACTGCCACATTCCTGGTAACAAGTTAGAAGCCAAATTTTATACCAGTTGTGGTTTCTGAACTGTCTCTTAAGGCAGCCCCATGGGGAGAACATTGCAGTAGTCCAGTCTAGGTATAACCAGGGCACAGCAACTATAACGGTACACCAGGTGTTACGCAAACTGCCTAGCACAGTACAAGGCCTTCCCCTGCTTAACTGTGCCCAACCCTTTTCAAACGCTTTTCTGCCTTTCCAGCGGAAGTTGCATGTTCACCTTTTGTCGCACCTTCTTTCCTGAACTTAAGAAAAGAGTTGTTGTTGTTTAGTCGTGTCTGACTCTTCGTGACCCCCTGGACCAGAGCACGCCAGGCATTCTTGTCATCCACTGCCTCCCGCAGTTTGGTCAAACTCATGCTGGTAGCTTCAAGAACACTATCCAACCATCTCGTCCTCTGTCGTCCCCTTCCTTTTGCCCTCCATCTTTCCCAACACCAGGGTCTTTTCCAGGGAGTCTTCTCTTCTCATGAGGTGGCCAAAGTATTGGAGCCTCAGCTTCAGGATCTGTCCTTCCAGTGAGCACTCGGGGCTGATTTCCTTCAGAATGGAGAGGTTTGATCTTCTTGCAGTCCATGGGACTCTCAAGAGTCTCCTCCAGGACCATAATTCAAAAGCATCAATTCTTCGGCGATCAGCCTTCTTTATGGTCCAGCTCTCACTTCCGTACATCACTACTGGGAAAACCATAGCTTTAACTATATGGACCTTTGTTGGCAAGGTGATGCCTCTGCTTTTTAAGAAAAGAGTAATCTTCCCCAAAGAAAGTCCAGCTTTCAGCAGCAGAGACTAGTCCTGTCCCCTTTCCCTTCTGTAGACTTGAGGAAAGTGCAGCTTCTGACTTTTACCAATAAAATGCTAAACGCAAGAAGCATTACCCTCCGGGGGCGAAAGTCAGTTTTTGGAAAAAGTCCCGACATAGTTTAATCCTGCAGGTTTTTATTATCTCCTCTCTCCTCTTCTGACTGCACATCATATCTCGTCCTTGCCCTTCATTAATCTCTTTTTGTTCCCTTGTTCCCTTTCCTGTGGCTTTCCTTTTTCGTTTTCTCTAATATGCTATGCCATGTGCTTTGACAATGAGACTCCAAGGGCGAGCATGTGGTGCAAGTGTCTCCAAGAGATATTTAAGAAGATTGCGGAGAATGTGGAGGAAAGTTGGGGCAGGCAAGGGACTAGAAAGGGGAAGAGATGAGTCATAAGACTGACAGGACAACTGACAGCTTAAATCAGGTGTGAGGATGTACATGGGTTAGTGTTAGAATTAGATATATTAAATATAATTAGCTGCTTCAGTGGAGCAGTGAATTAAGAGCTCACTGCAAAAACAATCTTTCCGCGTGGTTCTTTATGAAGAGGAATGCTAAGCTCTGCTCTTGAGATTAAAAATGTGGGAATATGAAGGGTAACAAAATTGGAAGGCAGATTTGGAGCGAGTGTGCATTGGCATTATTTTTCTCCATAACAGCATTTGGGGAATCGTAGATTTTGAAGGCATATGCAGTTGTCCTATACGGGGATCAAACCTGCAACCTTGGCATTGCCAGAGCGATGCTCTAACCAGCTGAGCTGTTAATGAAGTGTTTGCTTTAGGCCAGGTGTGGGGGACCTGTGGCCCTCCATAATTTGGTGAGCTTCAGCCAGTGGTCAGGGATGGTGGAGGTTGTAGCTGAACAACTTCTAGAATGTTACAGGTGAGCTGGAATGTGTCCCTTTACAGCTGGTGCCCAACCACATCTATGTTCCATTTTCCAAAACAGCTGGTGCTATTTCACTGATGGGAAACAAAAAATGTCTAAGCCCCATCAGTGAAATGGCACCAGCTGTTTGGGAAAATGGGACATAGATGTGGTTGGGCATTGGGGTAGACTCAGGGGATAGCAAACGTTTTCAGCAGGGGGCTGGTCCACTGTCCCTCAGACCTTGTGGGGGGCCGGACTATGTTTTTTGGGGAAAATGAACAAATTGCTATGCCCCACAAATAACCCAGAGATGCATTTTAAACACACATTCTACTCCTGTAAAAACACCAGGCAGGCCCCACAAATAACCCAGAGGTGCACTTTAAATAAAAGGACACATTCTACTCATGTAAAAACACGCAGATTCCCAGACTATCCGTGGGCCAGATTTAGAAGCCGATTGGGCTGGATCCAGCCCCCAGGTCTTAGTTTGCCTACCCATGGGGTAGAGGATTTGTAACTGAATCATTCTGGTCTTCCTGAGTGCTTTTTTTACCTGGAGGTACACAGTGCTACGCAGTACAACCACCTTTTTTGGAGAGGGGAAGGAGGTGGGAGTCCTCTCGGACCCCGCCAGAGCACCATGCCTCCTTCCCCAAGCCCAGGAAGCATTTGCCCATCTTAGGGAAGGAGTCGCAATGCTCTGACAGGATCCTGGAGCTCTGCGGCCCCCTTCCCAAAGCCCCGGGAGGGAGTGGGGGAGTGAGGCCTCCTCACCTGGGCAGCAGCTCTGCGGTAGGTGTTTGAGAGGGGAAGAGAATGTTAAGCCGCTAACCTGCCCTCACCCCCAACTTTGGTGTCATGCCCCTCCCCCTTAGGCACCTTTTTCCTAAGAAAAAAACCACTTGTCTTCTTGTAAAGGTAAAGGGACCCCTGACGATTAGGTCCAGTCGTGACCGACTCTGGGGCTGTGGCGCTCATCTCGCTTTACTGGCCGAGGGAGCCAGCGTACAGCTTCCGGGTCATGTGGCCAGGATGACTAAGTCACTTCTGGTGAACCAGAGCAGCGCATGGAAATAGGTACCTCCGGAGCGGTACCTATTTATCTACTTGCACTTTGACGTGCTTTCAAACTGCTAGGTGGGCAGGAGCAGGGACGGAGCAATGGGAGCTCACCCCGTCATGGGGATTCGAACCGCCGATCTTCTGATTGGCAAGTCCTAGGCTCTGTGGTTTAACCCACAGCGCCACCCGCATTCCTATAGTCTTCTTGTTCCTCAGACCATGCATTGCATTTGTACTGTGAGTAGTGCGTTATCAGTGAGGCATGGATGTTAGGATCTCATGGACATATGCCACTCTCTGCCCCCTCTACAGAGGCTGTTCACGTTCTTGTGGAAAGTGCCTGCTGTGGGATGTGAAACACAGATAGCAGTCAAATTCAACATTCCTAGAGCGGACATGAAAGGGGATGTTTGCAGCAGCCAGTAGAAAACTTCCTGTTTCCTCCTGGGCTGGGACAAACTTCCTCTACATGTGACCAAAGGTGGGCGTTGCCTTTAACTGTGCAGGTAAAAAGTAGCACAGCGCAAGCAGCCATCTCTCTCTCTGACTCCATTCCTCGAAGAAGCAACACCTCTTCAGCTACAGATGCCCTGCTGGCTTCCAGCCAACAGAGCACAAAGGGACTATCTCCTTATTGGATAGATTCCACGTGCATATACTTTTGTAACCTACGTCTCCCTTCAGGGATCCATCTGTGAACTGAATGTGAGTAAACGTCATTTATACTTTTTACACAAGATTGGGTGGTGTCTATTTTTTTTTTAAGGGGAGGGGAGAGACTCCATCAGGCAAGGCCTCCTTCCACCTGCCTTGCCCCACCCTCCGACCCTAGGAGGCCTCATAAGGGAGCTGTTCCTGGAGGAAGAACTCTGAGGGGAGAGTCTCCATCAGGCAAGGCCTCCTTTCACCTGTCTTGCCCCACTCTCTGTTTCTCAATGTGTATTGTATTGTTTTATGTACTGTGGCTTGCCGTTGTTTTATTGATTATAGTTTAGATATTATCGTCACTGTTGAGTGGATTTCTGTTTAACTTTTATAGTTGATATTATTATTTTATACTATTCTAATGATTGTTGAATGTTATTTTTTTGATGGAGGTTGCCTATTTTAAAGTTACGTTTTATTATCACATAATTTATTATTGTATTGCATTAGATTGTTATAAGATGTACATTTTTTGTTTCTTCAGCTTGTAAACCGCCTTGAGTATTGTAAGATAGAAAGGCGGTATGCAAATTAAAAGTGATGATGATGTTGATGATAAGGGGGAGTAAAGGGGATTACCAGGAATCTTATATTGAGAGGCTAAAACTAGCCTGCAACAAGCTAACCGCTGTGTCTTTAAAAAGGGGAATGTTAGAACTCTGCTAAGTTACAGAACTTGCTAACGCAAGTTAGGAAGGATATTATTAAACAATATATCCTCTCTTGTTTCCCTGAACATTCCCACACCTACCTGATCCAGGGAGTCCCCAGGATCCAAACATACATAAAGTGTTGATGCAGCTACAAGCAGGATATTTTGAGGCAGCAACCATGCTTCTAAGATAATTAGAGCCACGTTTGCATGTAAGAATAGTCTAGGGTTCCTGGGATACCATGGGTTATTGTTCCTGCTTTGCTCCTCCGCTGGTGTAATTGGGAGAAATAAACCTGGAAGCTATAATTAAGCTTTGCATACCATTGCACCTGGACCCTGGATTGTGGCTCCCTAACGAGCCAAGAGATGTAAGCCAACAACAGACCATGCTTAAAGGCTGGCTAGCAATCCTAACTGGGTAGGAACCAACCAATCAGCAACCCAGTAAAAGTTAAAGCAGTGAGTAGATAGGATGGAGGAAGTGGTACAGTTTGCAGACTGATATGGGGAAAATGAAAGGCAAGTTGGCAGGAGGGGGGAGGAATATAAAGAACCTGCTATAGGGTGCTGTGGGGTAACTGAAGACAGCAGTGCAGATTGGTGCTGTCGACAAGGGAAATATCTATGGGGAATGTGGGGGCCAGGGACCGGTGCTACATTACACTGCCTAGTTGTGCTGGAATGTGGGGTTTCTCTTGTAAAATCTCGGGGGACAGACTTAGTGGGGCTGATCTGGAGTGAAGTCTGTGGGAATGAATTGCTTATGATAGCCAAGGTGTGAAGTTTTGTACCTTTGCTAGATGACGTGAATGTAAGATTCGCATAAATTATGGATGCTGATTTATGGTATTATCCAATATATAGAAATAATAATAATAATAATAATAATAATAATAATATATAAATAATTTATACCCCGCCCATCTGGCTGAGTTTCCCCAGCCATTCTGGGCGGCTCCCAATCAAGTGTTAAAAACAATACAGCATTAAATATTAAAAAGTTTCCTTAACAGGGCTGCCTTCAGATGTCTTTTAAAGATAGGATAGCTGCTTATTTCCTTCACATCTGAAGGGAGGGTGTTCCACAGGGTGGGTGCCACTACCGAGAAGGCCCTCTGTATGGTTCCCTGTAACCTCACTTCTCGCAATGAAGGAACCGCCAGAAGGCCCTCAGCACTGGATCTCAGTGTCCGGGCTGAACGATGGGGGTGGAGACGCTCCTTCAGGTATACAGGAATGAATACACACACACACACACACACACACAGCCGCTCACAATTTATTTCCTGTCCTTGGTGATAACCCATAATTCCACCTTGGCTGCCTTTTGGCCCCTTGATTAGCTAACTGGGGAATGAAATAACTTCTGGATGACTGGAGAAATCCTATTTTAGCCTACGTTGCATAGTCTTTATTATTTGCATAAGTCTATTTGTAAATGCGTGTTCACGTTTAGAAGTGCCTAGAACAAAGACTTTAAAAGGACTGTATTGTGCTAGGCTTTATGAATAGCTTAAAACCAACCCACCACTTTTGAGTCTTATTTCCAGCAGGGAGCCATCAAATCCCAAATTGCTCCTGCAATCAAAGTCAAATCGGCAGGCTTTTTTGCTGAGCTTTGCCAAGTATGCAAGTCTGCTCAATGGGATGGAAAGCAAGATAAGCGTCCACATTTCAGCTGAAGTTTCTTGGGTCACTCTATGCAAAGGGGGGATAATGCTTAGTGTGTTGTCTGAATCCAGGATCATGGTTCAGGTCTCCCTATCTTAACCATAACTTGCAAGCACAGGACAAACCATGGTTAGTTATTGGTTATGGAGGAGAGATCTTAATCACATCCTGGCTTCAGACACACTAACCCAAACCTTAGCATAGTTGCTGCGCTGACCTGAAAAGTCTGGGGAGGAGTAGAATGGCTGCAGTCTTCTTGGGAGTCAGTGAGTTTGAACTAAACCATGGTTTGTCTGTTCAGGGAAGTTTTTAATGTGTGACATTTTGATGCATTTTTCATCTTTGTTGGAAGCCGCCCAGAGTGGCTGGGGAAACCCAGCCAGATGGGCAGGGTACAAATAATAAATTATTATTATTTGTTCTTTGTTCATGGGCCTTCATTTTTTAAAAAATGTGCAAAGCATCCATATCCTGTTTGTCCAAAATATTCAGGGCAGTTAGCAAAAAAAAGCAAAGCAAAGAAATACAATAGGTAAAGGGACCCCTGACCATTAGGTCCAGTCGTGACCGACTCTGGGGTTGTGGTGCTCATCTCGCTTTATTGGCTGAGGGAGCCGGCATACAGCTTCCGGGTCATGTGGCCAGCATGACTAAGCCGCTTCTGGCGTACCAGAGCAGTGCACGGAAATGCCGTTTACCTTCCCGCCGGAGCGGTACCTATTTATCTACTTGCACTTTGATGTCCTTTCGAACTGTTAGGTTGGCAGGAGCAGGGACTGAACAACAGGAGCTCACCCCGTCGCAGGGATTCGAACTGCAAACCTTCTGATCGGCAAGTCCTAGGCTCTGAGGTTCAACCCACAGCGCCACCTGCGTCCCTGAGAAATACAATAGACTTAGATTAAAAAAACCCCCAATACTTTCGTAAAAGGCTCCTTCTTGGGTTCTTATCTCTGGCGGTTTTTCCTCGACTCACAGTAATGACACCGATCCAGCAGTTCTGTGATGCTGCAGGAAAGCGGCGAGTGCCCTTCCCCAACTCTTCCTTTTGTGATTGCTGGGTTGCGGAAAAACTGTCTTCAGTGCCCACACGCCACAAGCTGTGACATTCCTAGAAGGATAGATCCGTTGAATTAAACTGGGATGGTTGTTCTTCAAGGTTGCCACTAGGTGGAAATGTTATTTCACTTTTGTTTAAATGGAGCACTAAGAAGGTTGGCAGTAGGAAAACATTGCTGTACGTTGCAGAAGTGTGGGCTTGATCAGTCTTGCCCTATAGCACTGCTCCATAGTCAGTGATTGACAAGCCATATCATGCCTCACCTCCTTCCTTTGGATTATTGATATAGTGCTGTGCAGTCTATATCCCTAATTTTCAGAGCAGCAAATGCAGAGCAAGTTTTCTGCACTTGGGGCATCGCCAAACTAATTTTGAGGTGTGGCAGCTGTCCTCCTCCATCTCCCGGATCCTACCTCTTTGGTTTCCCCATGATCCTGCACATATTATAGGCCACAGGGCTGGCACGGTGGCAGCCAGTATGAGCAGCAAGATTAAAGCTTTGACCACCATTAAGCTGCCTCATATTAGGAATAGCTGCAGAGATAGCGCAGGATAGTGCGCACCCCGGAAATGATCTCTTTCAGCTTCTGCCTTCTGGAAGAAGGTACAGGGTTACAAAGACTAGGACTAGCCGCCTGAGAAACAGTTTCTATCCAAACGTGATTTTGGTTTTAAACACAGTGTAAGGTAGTCTCTATGGGAGTATATTGTATTTAATTATGGGGTATCAGAACTTTTAGGGGGTTAACCAGGCTGGGATAGCAGGCTTGTTGGTTTTTGAATGTCTGATGTAGATTTTTTTCAATTTCGTTGTTCTGTATGGGACAATGACAATAAAGATTATCGTATCGTATCATAGCTGGCAATGTTAAAGAATCCAGAAAGTAATCCATTTTAATAGCAATTTTTTTAAAAAAAACAGAGTAAGGTTGTATTGTCTACAAAGCCTAGTGAGTACAATGCTGGACTTGGACAAAGGAGATGCAAACTGAATTCCCAGCTCTGCTGTGGCCTTTGACAAGCCACAGTTTCACAGAATCATAGCATTGGAAGGGACCCCGAGGGTCATCTAGTCCAACCCGCTCCAGTGCAGGAATATGTAGGTGGCCCATATTTCTCAGCCTTTGTTCCTCATTGGCAAAATAATAGGAATAACAGCAGTGCACCCCATGTTGGGTGAAATATTCCTGCCTTGCAAGGGGTTGGACTAGATGACCTGCAGGGTTCTTTCCAAGTCTACAGTTCTATTATTATTTGACTATTCATGTGAGGGTGAGAGAGGCAGCGACATGCCAGCTGCCCCAAGTAGGCAAGAATGAGACTTCACTTGTTGTCTGTACAAATGTAACTTGGATGTTTCCTAGACCTGGGCCCTTGTATTTCTCTTTCTAGGCGATTCTTTCCTGTGGCTATGCTTTTTAGTTTATCTAAGCTGGCATTGATTTCCCTTTTTACCACACCCTTTGATCACCCAAGACTCCTAGGGCAGCCCACAGTTATAACAAAAGTTACAACAAGAAGAATTGGCACATGTTTGTTTAAAAAACAATCCGTTTGAAAAACAGCATTATAGCTGCACAATTGAAAGTCTACCAGAGTGCCTTAATATGGCACATATTTAGAAAGATATATTTTGAAAATTGAACAGTGTAATGACTATAATTATTGCATATATCATATACAGGTATATAAATTAAAACTCTATTTTCTGCTTTTTGTTTGATTGTTTGTATAACTTTGCTATTTGAAAATGAACTTTATATTAAAACGAGAGAGAGAGAGAGAGAGTGTGTGCAAGCCAGGAACCAAAGATAACTCTGTTCCTTGTTGACAGCAAGCTAGCCTCTGATGCCAGCTTCGGATAAATGTGTGGAAGATTAGAAATGATTTTTAAAAATTACTGTAAAACTTTAAAACTTGCATGTTCAGACAGTGGCAGAAATTTTCAGCAGGCCACTAGGGAATCAGCTGAGATGCCATCAACATGGGATAAAACATCCCCTACCACTCTTTGGAAACCATTTGGATCCATTAAGTGGTCCTCCTTCCCTGCAGAGGGAATGGGTTGCAGAGAAGTCCAGTTGCACCAGGAAGTGATCTGATCATGGCACTTCTTTTGTTTCACTTTTACTTAATGTCAGATCACCCTCGTCCATAGAAGTGAACACCAGGTCTAAGGCATGTTTGTGGCTATGGGTTGGGCCAAATTTATTCAGGGACAGCCCCATGGAGGTCATGCTTTCCATGTAGTCCCGAGTGGCCCCTTGTAAGGTTGTGTCAGCATGGATGTTAAAATCCCCCAGGACAGCCAAATTAGGTGTCCCCAGGAGCACATCCGCCACGACCTGAAGCAGCTCAGGCAGGGAATCCATAGTGCAGCTGGGAGGTCAGTACACCAAAGGGAATCCTGTACTGCCCCTATTGCCCAACCTCCAGAGCACGCATGGTGCAAGTTAATGATTTCCTAAAAATCACTGCACCCCTCCCCCCTGCCCATATGTGTCAGCATCGCCTTTGAGCCAGTGCACCAACTGGACTCATGCACCTCAACCCCGACTGGGCTAGGCGAGCTGGGTAGCACTGCCAGAGACCTCCTTTCTCACAGGAACAGGTCACAGTGCTGTGGACTCACAGCTTAGAGCTGAGAGCACCGGATTCACTGTCTCAATAATACAGTCGTTGCGCAGCAGAGTTTAGCAGAGTCTTGCAGAGTATAAACCACTCGGAGAGCAGCTCTGTAGAATATCTTCCTTTTATTCTGTAACTACAACTATGACACAAAACTATATACAGAGCTGAATATTCTAAGCATAAATCAATGCTACACTGAGAGTCTGCAGCTGCTCTTAGCGGCAACCTTATCTCTACGATCTCTAACACTCTCTCTCTCTCCGATACACTGACTGACTGACTCTCTCACTCACACAGAGACACACAGATGTGGTGCTGGGCAGAATAAGTAGATAGCAGGACACGCCTCCTCCTCTCTGGAGAGTCAGCAGAGATCTCAGGAGATTCTTGGATATGGGAGGGGTGAAATCTCCTCAATATGATCTGGGTTACTGTGCGTAAGAGAAAACAGGTAGACAAGCAGCAGCAAGAACAGGCCCATCTGCCTTGTCCGACCAAGTCTGTTACACATGCCAGGCCAATTCCCTCCATTCACGATTAAGTCTTGGATGGCAGTGGTCTTGTGAATCATTGACCTGGCATTGCACAGCAGCACCTTAAGGTCCTGTGTGTCTCCCTTGTTGATTCTAGCATCCTTCCAGTCAGGACCAGACCTGGAGGCAGGGATAGTCCTCAAACAACGACTAAACCTGCCTCCCCAGTAATGACACGATCTGGTCCTAGCATAACTCCTCTTCCTGCCTGTGATCACTGAGATCGGGTGTCCCAATGCATAAACCCCCACCACCGCAGAACCTGCCCCAGCCATCCTATTGGCCAGGGCCCACTTCCAGGGCAGCCCTGAACCTATCCCTTAAAAAGATGTTTTCTTCTGGCAACAACAAAACAAAAGAACCCACAAAAACCACAAAACGTAATTTACAGTTACAGACATATTAAAATAACCTCCACCCCCATTAAAAGCATTGAAAACAACCCCAAGCTAACTACATTGGTACCTCGGGTTAAGTACTTAATTCGTTCCGGAGGTCCGTTCTTAACCTGAAACTGTTCTTAACCTGAAGCACCACTTTAGCTAATGGGGCCTCCTGCTGCTGCCGCGCCGCCGGAGCACAATTTCTGTTCTCATCCTGAAGCAAAATTCTTAACCTGAATCACTATTTCTGGGTTAGCGGAGTCTGTAACCTGAAGCATATGTAACCTGAAGTGTATGTAACCCGAGGTACCACTGTAAAACAAAACAAGATAATATTTGAAACCAAACAGATTAAAAGGTGCTTAAAAACATTTATAAAACACATTAGACACCCGGAGCAATGAAAAGATATCAGAACCGCCCCACCTCACCCCAGCTAGCAATGTCCCAAGAGTTTGGTCCAGCGAGAAGGCCACGCTCCCTAGGCCAGCTAGTGACGGCCTTGCAAAGAAGCAGGTAAAGGCCTTTCAGAAAAGAAGGTAGAGTCCTTGCAAGGAAGCAGGCCCCGCAGTCCTCGCCACAGACATGTGGGGCGCAAGCAGAAAAGGCATGAAGGCCATTTCAGTCAAAGCAAGATGAAGAAAGTGAAGATAAACCAAATGAGGCCTAAGGTTCAAGAGCACCTTATATTGAGTCATCTGCATAAGGTGTTTTTATACTCCACCCTTAAGCCAAAACGGCCCTTGGAGCAGCTTTCCAAAAACCAGTATCCGTAAGGTCTGGCCATAAGTGACCCCTCTGCAGCTCTCGCTTCAAAACATTGGTGACTTGCTAAGTGCACAGTTGCTCCTTCCGATTCAGTTGATCTGAATCTGATTTTTGCTTCTTCAGAACGAAGAAATGGCTCGCCAGCTGGTGGAGCTGGGCTTCCGAGGAAGCGGCGAAGTGCTGAAGAGGGAAGATTTCATAGCTAGGAAATTGGCCGCCGAGGCTTCGAGGCTCTCAGAAAGGCAGCAGCAAAAGTAAGTGTGCATTTGTGTGAAAAATGAACCGTATCTCAAGTTCAGGAAAATGGAAGTAAGAGAGGATTCATTGTAAATTTTAAAGCACAACCTCAGACCCTCCAAGTGTCCCTATTTTCCAGGGACAGTTCTGGATTTACAGAAGCCGTCCCGGTTTCTGATTTGATCCCAGAATATCCCGCTTTGATCCCAGAATATCCCGCTTTCCCTTAGGACGCCCCTATTTTCATTGGAGAAACATGGGAGGAGGGTATGGAGTTATGCGACGCCCCGAGCCAAGGAGATAAGTAGCTATGCAACCTTTAGAAGATATCTGAAGGGAAGCTTTTTAATGTTTTATTTTGTTTTTATATATGTTGGTAGCTGTCCAGAGTGGCTGGGGCAACCCAGTCAAATGGGCATGGTATGAGTAAAATAATAATAATTATAATAATAATTGTGTTATGTATTAAGATTAACTGCAATTCTCACTCAGGGCCACCAGTATGCAAATGAAGGATTGAGAACTGTCGCTCACTGATAGGTTAGTTAGTTGGAAGTTGTTACTGTTACAAGTTACTTAGTATTATATTACGCAGCCAGCTAGGCCGCAGTGTGTCAGACTCCAGGAGCAGTTCTAACTGCTGTAATAAAGAGCTGTGAATCTAATAGAGCTGTGTCCTTTGTCTATCTTCCCCACTATTTAACAAATCAAATAGGTAAAGGTAAAGGTACCCCTGCCCGTACGGGCCAGTCGTGTCCGACTCTAGGGTTGCGCTCCCATCTCACTTAAGAGGCCGGGGGCCAGCGCTGTCCGGAGACACTTCCGGGTCACGTGGCCAGCGTGACGAAGCTGCTCTGGCGAGCCAGCACCAGCGCAGCACATGGAAACGCACACGGAAACAAATCGAATAGGACCTCACTATTTTCATCAGATAAATGCTGGAGGGCTGTATAAAACCAGTATGAAAATATGTTGGAAATGGCATCTAGGCCTTGGGTAAGATGTTGAATAAAGCCAAATCCATAACCACCCACACTAGCTGCTTAGGCCAGTAATTCCAAACTGTGTTGCAACAAAACCATTTATTTCCATTTCTTCAGACACACCAACAGTTAAAGGTTTCTGTGAGCCCAAAGGTCCCACTGGAGGAAGCTCCCCACTGCAACTTTCCATGATTCATTGCTCTGTGTGCAGGTTCAGTCCCCGGTATCCCCAGGTAGGCCTGGGAGAAACTCCTTGCCTGAACTGTTATGTACTGAAGTTCTCACCCTGGGCCAGCAAGGGGATACTGTAGATAGTTTTCACTCAGGTCCACATATGCAAATAAGGGATTGAAAGTGACGTTCAGTGATTGGATAGTTACAGAAAATGGTTACTGTTGCGTTCTAATGGAGCTCTATATAAGCAGGCTGGCTGAACCCTTCAGTTCAGTTCTGTTCTGGCCTGTGAATAAACAAGAGCTGTTTGAAGAATCGCTGTGTCATCTGATATGTTCACCCACAACTTAGCATGAACCCCTGGAGAGCCACTGCCAGTCAGTGTAGGCAATATTGAGATAGAGGTATGCATCATCTCACTTGGTCCATGGCGGCTTCCTATGTTCCTTGAGTTGGAGGTGGAAAACTCTGTTGCATTTTTCCATTTGGTGCAATTGCACCTTCACCCCCATCATTCAGCCTGGACACTGAGGTCCAGCGCCGAGGGCCTTCTGGCGGTTCCCTCCCTGCAAGAAGTGAGGTTAGAGGGCACCAGGCAGAGGGCCTTCTCGGTGGTGGCGCCTGCCCTGTGGAACGCCCTCCCAGCAGATGTCAAGGCAATAAACAACTATTTTACTTTTAAAAGACAACTGAAGGCTGCCCTGTTTAAGGATGTTTTTAATGTCTGACGCTGTATTGTTTTTAATATTCGCTTGGAAGCCGCCAAGAGTGGCTGTGGAAACCCAGCCAGATGGGCGGGGTATAAATAATAAATTATTATTATTATTATTATTATTATTATTATTATTATTATTATTATTATTATTATACTGGGCTTGTGCTACACCCACCCCATGCACTTGAAACACACTCCCAAAGAATTATGGGAACTGTAGTTTACCCCCACAGAGTATTAGTTCCCAACACCTTTAGCAAACTACAGTTCCCAGAATTCTTTGGGGGGAAAGACGTGCTTGAAATGTATGCGTTGGATGCAGCCATAGCTACCACCAATGGTTTTGAGCACTTGATGCCCTTTTCCAGCTAACTGCCCAGCCAGTTCCTCAGCCCTGTGGTGGAGGTTTTAGGCTTTTTCTCTCTTCCAGTTTTTTTCCTTTCTTTTTGTGCAAGACTCTTAGTTTGCTTGGACAGCTGTCAAGCATATGCTGTCACGTTAGCTGTCAAACTGAAGCATGTGCCAGAGCAAAACATTTTCACTTCTTTCGGTCCATATCTTTGCATAATTGGTAATTGACCTCTGCCTTTTGCATACTTTGGGAGAACACAGAAATAAACGCTCGAAACCATGACCGCCAAAGCATTGCTCTTAAATTTGAGCTAACAATTTAAGGAACATTTTTTTTAGGTATTAGAATTGGGTGGTTGTTTTTTTCTAAAGGAATTTGGGCAATTCCCGGGCTTTGGCTGCTGATTCTGGTTTCCATGCCTCCTTATTCTGGATTCACAATTTGCCTCCCAAAATGTGTTAATATACCGCTTGTTCAGACGAGAGCAGTTGTGGAATTCAGATAAATGAACTGAATTAACATGATTTTTAAGTATTCATATTTTTCTCCAACGTTGCAGTTCCTGTTCATGCAATGTGCAGCTACTCTGAGTGACCTCTAATATACTCGCTTTCTTTCTCTTTTTATTTTATTTTTAACAACAATTTGAGCTCAATTCTCAATCCTGCACATTCCTGGATTCTCTAGTCTTAGATGAATGGGTTTGTGAAGTATAGATACACTTTACAAGATGGTTTAGTAACCAGTGAGCTCATATAGGTGGCGACAACATCCCCCCTAAGCAGAAAAGGAGACGAAATCTGCTTGGGGTAAGCAAGTCAGAGTCAAAACATTATGTGAATGTGGTCTTTCCTTATTTCTAATCAAACTGGGTACAAAGGGTGAGGAGATAACCTTACACAGGGCCTACAGTCAGGAAAGCATATCACGTATTGCGTATGGATTTCATATAGCTGAGCCAAAATAAGCTGACTAATCTTTAGTTGCAGGTCTCTGGTTTTTTTTAATATAAAAATGCCAGAAATGTACCTTCTTTCTTTTTGTTGCACACATGGGAGGCAGTTCATAACTGCAGCCTCCCAGTTATCTAAACCTTGTAATATTATTTTGCTTTTATTGAAAACAAAAATGACAAAGAAAAACTAACAATGAAGTTATTTGGGGATTTTATCACGTCTTCATGTATTGTGCTAGCTAATGAAAACATTATTAAAACGGTTGTAGTTCTGCACCATCTGTACCAACCCTTGCAGAAAGGGTTTTGCAGTGTTGTCTAAAAATGCATACCGTATTTTCCCGTGTATAAGGCTATGTTATTTTCTTTAAAAATCATGCTAAAAAGTGGGGGTCGTCATACACGGATAGTGCATAGGGTGGACGTTTGATTGGTTGCTGCCGTGGCTGTCAGCGACTATTGCGCGTGTTATTGGTTGCTGCGTCAGTGGGTGGTGTTGATTTGCTGACGCTGTGGCAGGTGGGATTGACAGCTTCTGCCAGCGATGGGACAGATGGAAGGCGGATTTTGCGGCGCATGCAAGTGAGCAATTTTTGGCAATTTCCCCCCCCCCCAAAAGAAAGCTCAACAACCCTGGGTAATCCCCCCCCAAGCCATCTCCCCCCATTTTCTTAAATGAGAGTTCCCCAAAATAGGGGACATTTTATACATGGAAAAGCACGGTAATTTTACCTACTTGAATAACTACGAAATGCAAATGTGCGTTCTGACTAGTAGTGGCCTGTTTTAACCTGTTTTAATTGAGAATTAAAAAATTGTCCTTCCTTCCATGAGATGAGAGGTAGTTTTCCTTTTCCAAGGGGGTGGTCTTGTTTATAGGATGTTTTGGCTAAAAAAACCCTTCTCTAGAAGAGGCCACCAGGTTGTGCCTTGTTTGCTAGATCTCATGTTGTGCAGGGAACCAGCTCCTTTGCTGTAGCAACAGAAAACCAGAAGAAGAAGAGTTTGGATTTGATATCCCACTTTATCACTACCCTAAGGAGTCTCAAAGCGGCTAACAATCTCCTTTCCCTTCCTCCTCCACAACAAACACTCTGTGAGGTGAGTGAGGCTGAGAGACATCAGAGAAGTGTGACTAGCCCAAGGTCACCCAGCAGCTGCATGTGGAGGAGCAGGGAATCAAACCCAGTTCACCAGATTACGAGTCCACCGCTCTTAATCACTACACCACACTGGCTCTACACCACACAGGGTTTGTTCTCCGCCCTTCCAGTTGGTTTACTTGGTCGTGCTTAGGTACTGATGGCCCTAATGCTTCAGGGGTGCAAGTAAGGGCCCAAGGAACAGATCAGCAGAACAAAAAGCAAATGGTTGAAAAAACATCTGGGCCTTGGAGTGGGTAAATGCTAAGGGCAGAACATTTTTGTGTGACAGAAGTTAATCAGACATTTTTTCCTGGTGGGATAAAAAAGAGAGCAAAACACACGAGATCGGTTGCTGGTTCTTCCTGTCACAGGACTCGTGAATCAGCTGCTTATGTCAACATTCTTGCATCTTTCTACATGCCTGGAGAACACCTGGATATTTGTGTTGCCGTTTTCAGAAACCGTGGATCTCTGTGCAGTTGCCAAGCTGCTTTGCGTAGGAAGGTTTCGATGTGGACAAACTTTTTCTGATTCAACTGATGATTGATCCTGTGCCAGTGCGTTGCCCAGGAGAGGATTATTCCCGAGCTCCTTGTGTAAGTGGCTGGAGAACAGAGCCACGGAGCTCCTACAAACCGGTGCTGCTTCCTTTCCCCTGTGGCTCAGTAGGACTACGTACATCTGTCTGCACAT